ATATCTCCCTGCCTTGCCGTCATAGTATTCTGGCCACCCGTCTTTTGAGAGCCGCTGCTCCACCTGTTCAATTGCTCTCTTAGCAGTCGGAGGCCTCCCCGTCTTGATACATGCTGCAGTAAGCAACCACAGAAGTGCTACAAGACAGATGCAACAACGTTAACCAATTGTTTTAGAACAAACGCATAAGTCAGAATTCTGTGAACAAGCATCAAAATATCATGAATAGCACAACCATTTGGCACGCTTTCCCAAATTACATTCAGAAATGCATCCCACAACATTTATATACCAGAAGATTTCAATTGGAAAAGTGGTTACAATCAGCAAATAAAGATGTTTAAAATAAAAGATACTATGTCAGGTAAGTAGTGCTTGTAGCCTAGTTTACTAAATAAAAACAATAACTAGCCGACTCATATAAAGTGGGTACTAATGTTCAGGAAATGTAATTGAAGGGTCTCAGTCAAATAGAACTAGCACTAGGCTTCAAGTAGAAAAATAGAACTGCAAATTGTAATATCAACAGAGGGGACATTATCTGAAAGATTTACAAATCAACGGAAACTAACAAAACCAGCCTTGAGCCACCGATATTTAAGCAAAAACCTTTATACTTTAATGGTGAAAATGACTACTAGAGGTGCTAAAATGAATAAACATAGCACGTAACAGAGACAAATCAAAACAAGAGATGAACAAAAAGAACAGAAAAGATAAAGAGCTAATGCAAATAGCACATTGTGATAACACCATCTCCATGAGACTTACTTGGCCAAGAGCCACCATTGTGATAACTCCATGAAACTTCTCTAGGTTATCTGTTGTTGTTCGGAAATCTTATTTACAAGTTAAATCCTCGAACACACTCACTCATATTGTTAATATTACGGAATAAATGGCCTAGGCGGGCGCTAGGCGGGGTAGGCTGGGGCTAGGCGGTCTAGGCGGGCTAGGCAGTCTAGGCGGTCACTAGGCGGGCGCTAGGCTGTCTAGGCGGTCGCTAGGCGGGCGCTAAGCGGTCTAGGCGGTCTAGGCGGGCGCTAGGCGGGCTAGGCAGTCTAGGCGGTTGCTAGGCGGTCACTAGGCGGGCTCTAGGATCATCAATGGTGAAAAAGTTGAAACGCGGTGTATTGGTAGGGAAAATAGGAGGGCTTTGTAGCACGCCACCACCAATTTGGAGACTTGACGAGTGTTACTATCGGCAAAACAACAACAACAACGAACCCTGCTCTGAATTTCTCCCACAACTCTTCAGAATTTCATCCAGTTTTGGGATCAGACGATAATTCTTCGGAATATTACGACGATGATGACAATGACGAAGAAGATGGCGGTGGCTGGGAGCGTAGTACAGTTTAAAATATTTGTTTAAAAACTATAGCCGCGCGGCTATACTGTTGACATATTCTATTTACAGAGTATAGCCGGCCGGCTATACGTTTAGAATATTCTGTTTATATCGTATAGCCGGACGGTTCGGCTATACTCTTTAACGGCTATACTCTTTAACACATTCCAGTTGTAGAGTCCAGCCGCCCGGCTATACTGTTAGAGATTCTATTTATAGAGTATTGCCGCGCAGCTGTACCGGCTATACTTTTAACACATTCTATTTCTTTATCCATCTGAGAGTTTAGTCCAACCAAATTCCCTCTCTCCCTCTCTCTCTCTCAAATTCCAAGAAAATGGCGAAAGGTGAACGCAGGGTGTTGTTGGTATTGGGGGACTACGTGGAAGACTACGAGGCGATGGTTCCATTTCAAGCACTGCAGGCATATGGAGTGTCCGTTGATGCCGTCTGTCCTGGCATGAAAGCTGGTGATATCTATCGCAGAGCCATTCATCAACTTTCTCCTGCTCACCAGGTCACCCACCTCTGCTTCTTTTGCCTTTTCCTTTGTTTATTTTTAATGAAAAACGTTTTCTTTAGCCTCATTACATCACTTGAGCACTGTCAATTGGTCTTTTCCATGCTCTGTAATTAAGCACACTCAATTAGATTGAAGATTGAATGCTTACTTCACTTGAATTTGTAAACCCAAAACAAGAAATTTGTCTCAAAGATTGAAGTGCTTACAATTCTCACATATGGGATTATGTTGCCTCCTCTAAAATTTGGAATCTGTTGGGACTGGAAATTAGTTTGTCAAGTTTACGAACGAACATCACGCTTTCAAGTTTAGTTTTTTGCATCAGCCAATCTTTGGTAGCCTTAATTATAGACAAAATGAATAAGTTTTATTGTTGATTAGAGCCACTCTATTAGATTGACAAAGAGCAATCCGTAGGTTATAGTTCTAGGTTGTGTGGACAGCGAGACTAAAGTAAGCTCAAACAAGAACACATGTTAGGAGTTTTGTTAGAGTGCTTGCTCATTCATTATGAGCTAGAGAACCAACCTGTATTGAGCTTGAGTTCTGGGGACAAGACAGCGTGAACAAATTCTTGGCTCCAACGTCACTGCTTACACCATATTCAATAAACGAAATTGCATTAGTGCCCTCGTATCTAAGTGAAAATAATCTGATAATGGGCTACCTAGGTTTGCTGAATCGTGATCTGTGTTTAATTTACAAATCTTCAAATGCTACATGTCTTTCTGGTCCCCCTTTGTTTTAATATGTTTTTTGGTTTTCTATATTTTTTTTTCTTTGGTTGCAGACTTATTCTGAATCACGTGGTCACAATTTCGCACTCAATGCAACATTTGATGACATTGAATTTAACAAATATGATGGATTAATAATACCAGGAGGACGGGCACCTGAATATCTTGCTTTGGATGCGTCGGTTTTAGAATTGGTGAGAAAGTTTTCTGACTCCTGAAAGCCAATTGCTTCGGTTTGCCATGGGCAACTTGTCCTAGCAGCTGCAGGCTCGGTTAAAGGTAGGAAGTGTACGGCCTTCCCAGCTGTCAGACCCGAGACCTTGTTGGCGTGTGTTGTTGATGGTAATATATAATTACTGGGGCTACATATGAAGGCCATCCTGAGTTATTTAGGCTTTTTGTGAAGGCACTAGGAGGTAACATAACTGGTTCAGATAGGAGGATCCTGTTTCTCCATGGGGTAAGTTTTATTTTCCTTCGTAGTGCAATGAGAAATATGAAATTGTGATGCCGATCAATATTGAGTATATATAGTATCGAGATTTGCCCTTTTACAGATACTTCTGAAAGATAGTGAAAATAACCTGAATAGGCTTTACCAGATTTGCCACAATTCTGGTGTGATAAGGTTCCATCATTCATTCCTATGTGTTTTTTTTCAATGTTTTGGTGGCATGATTCATTGGTCTGCCTACCTGGGTCCGTTGCCCATTGGAATACTTGTTCGTCAGGTCATTTGTGTGAGTTGTGAACTTGTGAAAGTAAATCCAAACATGCATACTGGTCATTTTTCAAGTTGTTTCTAAACATGATACATAGACAAGTACATCCTTTATGAATTTTAAAAGACTTCTTTACTTTAATTTTCCGGAAAGTTGACTACTGAAGAATTTCAACTTCCCCCTTCCCCCAAAACTGAATACCTCCAATACCCAAGCCAATTAGGTCTCCAAATTCAAAATGCTACTACTGCCCTAGACCCATAAATTAGTTGCTGTCAGATTTCATAAGAACCTATTTTCTTGAAACCAGTTGTTTTTTTTCCCTCTAAAACCAAATCCTTTGAAGCATACCTAAACTTCTCTACCTACAATGCCAAAAGTTATACAACTTGACAAACCTTAAAGCCCACCACGTTTTGTAAGCTGGTTTTTTAACGGTGATAAGATGGTCCATAAATCAAGATTGGCTACTTGACAAACCTTAAAGCCTACCAAATTCAAAATATTATTTTACTTGTCAATATCAATAGTGATAAGATGGTCCATAAATCAAGTTTGGCTACGTGTTATAATTCACTGTAAATCTAGTAAACCCCTTGACAAGAACGTTAAAGCTGCATGGTGTTTGTTTATGAACTAATTGTTATCCACGTATTATTCTAGTTAATGATCAAAATTTTATATTTCTCACAGTTACTAAGCATCATTCACTTTCTCCCTCAACACTCGTAGGACTTCATGGAAGATTATGAGGTAATTGTGCCTTTTCAGTCTCTTCAAGCTCTAGGATGCCATGTTGATGCAGTTTGCCCCAAGAAGAAAGCTGGTGAAATCTGTGCAACTGATGTCCATGATTTTGAAGGTGACCGAACATACAGTGAGAAGCCGGGCCATAATTTCACTTTAGCTGACTTTGAAGCTCTATATATGTCTCAAGTTATGATGCTCTTGTAATCCCTGGAGGTCGAGCCCCAGAATATTCGGCATTGGATCAGAAAGTTATTGCGTTAGTGAAGCAAATTGTGGAAGCCAGGAAACCAATTGCATCCATCTGCCACGGGCAGCAGATTTTAGCTGCTGCTGGTGTTCTACAGGAAAGGTTACTCCCTTTAAGCCAGGCTACGCCTTTGTTTCCAGAAATTTGATCCATATTCTTTGAGTTTCTCAATCAAATCCGACTATTTCCATATCGTTTTAATTCGGTGCGTCGTCAAACATAGTATTGATATTGTTAAAAATATTACTGACTTCCTTCAATGCCATGTGATGCCACCAAAGGAATTGCTCCAATAATTGGGTTCAACTGAAACAAAGTGAAGCTGTAATCCCTGTTTAGGTGACAGTGTAGTTTTATTGTATCTATAGCTCATCTTTTAATAGGGATGGGTCCCCATGTTGTTTGGATCAGTCCCATGCTGTCCAGAAGTTCAATAAGTTGATTTCTGAAACTAAATGAGTTGAAAGTGTACAAAATGCAGAATCAATAATATAAAGTTAATTTGTTAGGCACACAAACAAGGACGCAAAATCCTCATTAACAATCCAAAATCATATAACAAAATCGAGATTATAAATTTTGGAATTTTAAAGTCCAAGCATGATATGGTAGATATGGGAGATGCTACAATGAGGGGGATTTGAGTGGGGGGTTTGAGTGAGGGGTTCAATCCAACCATCCAATCATTAAAAAGTTCTAAGTTCAAAATTTCCTTTATATTATTGGATAGCGGTATTGAACCCCTCATTATAGCTTTTCCGTGGTAGATATACATTTATAATGTAGATTACATAACTTTTACGCTTTTTAACATCAACTAAAATGCTAGAGTAAAATTAATTTTTGTGTGTGGGAAGTTTAACCAAAAAGACAATATACAGATAATCTGTGGATTCATTTGTTCTTTTACTCACTATCAATGTAGTTGATCGTAAATTCAAATGTTTGTTCTATTGTGGGTGTTGATGAGCAAGCTTGCCAGTCGGTGCATGAACATTTGTCCTGTAATATAAAAGTCAGAAGATGTTTGTTCTGCGTATCCATCCGTGGTTTTGTCGGGAGCAACATGGCTGGAACCTAATCCAATAGATCGTTGCTTCACAGATGGAAATTTGGTTACTGGAGCAGTGTGGCCGGGCCACCCAGAGTTCATTTCTCAGTTGATGACATTGCTTGATATTCGAGTATCATTCGAGTGGCTGTTTACCGGGTCAGCTGCTTGCATGTACTATATATAATTCATGAAAGAATAAGGCATGTATGTTGTGTTATGTTAAGGTGACGTTTGTATATATGAGGGAACAAGTGACACTCTGGTATTGATATGTATATGCCGTGTTCCATGCAAGTTTGGCTGTGGATGAACAGTAAGAAAAGAGAACTAGCCAACAAAACCCAAACAAGAGGTTAAAAAAATAAAGTTAGAAGCACAAAAGCTGGAAACAAAATAAAAGAAAAGTGCATACACACAATGAGAACTTAACCGACAACCTACTAATGTCTACTTAAAACAAAAATAAGAAGAACACCACACAAAACTGAGTTTAGAAGAACCTTATTAGAAAACTCAAAAAACAAACTGAAACAAGACAACAACTAAAAAGACCATGCTAAAACGAAAGCAAAGCAACAAGTAACCATAAAAAGAAACAAAAGCCTACTAAAACCAAGCTGCAGAAAAAACAAAGAAAACTAAAGACACAAAACCCACAAATCCACTAAACAAGAAAAATAAACACAATGACACAACAAAAGTAACAAAGAAAACACCAAGATAATCGTTCTAAATGTAACAACATAACATGGCCAACAAGGCAAAACTTATTTGGTGTTGTAGTAACAATCAAACCACAAGAAACTACTCCAAACTTATCTGTTAACGTTGAAAACACCCAATAAAACCGGTAGTAACTGCTCCCAACTTTGGAATTGCAATGCTTGTAGAGGATCAAATGAACCGCCAAAAACTGCTCCCAACTTTGTAACTACCAAGGCTTGTATAGGGCCAAAAACCATGCAACAGAAAGTAAGGCTCCAAAAAGGAGGCCACAACAAAGCAACTCTAACAGTAAAATATGAAGCAATGTGCAGAACAAAATCCCAAACCACTAATGGAAGAGGAACCAATTAGATGACGTATGATCATCGACAATCACAAGCAACAAAAATAGAGTATATGTAAAGAACATTCATGCGAAAATAAAACTTTTAGATGTTATGCTGCCCAAACAAGGACTTAGGGGGGACCAATAATATCCTCTTACGAAACTGTGAAACAAGAGCAAGAAATAAGAAACACAATTGTGAAATCAAAACCAAATGAAAAAGAAAAATACGTTAATGGTCAATGACCAAAGCAAACATGATAGAGTGGTCGCAGACAGAATCTCCTCAATTTTCCATCAAAGACAATTCCCACGGGAGCCACCACACAGTGATCATGGAGATCTGCAAATCGCAGATCTACATGTGAGTGTGGCGATCCGACTGTGCTGGAGGCGGAGAAACATAGAAAACAGAGAGTAAGAGAAACAGAGAAACTGAAAAACTGAAACAGCACTTCGATTCATCTCCGTATATTGACGTTCTTAATCAAAGTTGCGATACTAAAACCCAAAACCAAAGGGTGGAATAGGGAAGGCAATGGGTGGTTCCCTAGAGGATAAGTCTGTGTCGAAACTTCTCTAGGTTATCTGTTGTTGTTCGGAAATCTTCTTTACAAGTTAAATCTTTGAACACACTCACTCATATTGTTAATGGCCTATGCGGGGGCTAGGCGGTTGCTAGGCGGTCACTAGGCGGCGGCAAGGCAATTGCTAGGCGGTCCCTAGGCGGGCACTAGGCAGTCTAGGCGGTCCCTAGGCGGGCACTAGGCGGTCTAGGCGATCCCTAGGCAAGCACTAGGCGGTCTAGGCAGTCTAGGTAGGCGGTAGCGCCTAGGAAAAAAATAAGCCATTTTGGAATCTCCAAGGTCAGGGACGAGATGACGATGGTGCTATGAGAGAGAGAGAGAGAGAGAGAGAGAGAGAGGTCGCCGGTTATGTCTGAGCGAGAGAGAGGGCTAGAAGACGGCTCGTGTTCGAATGAATTCAAGGAGATCCATTCTATCTCTTAGTCACTAGCCCCTTGGCACACGTGTGCCAATTGGTTTTCTTTTTTCTTTTTTTATTTTATTTTTAGAATTAAGAAAATATAATATGGATAGTTATGTTCCATAAAAGTAAGACTTATTATCTGATTTTGTTTTTATTTTTATTTTTTTAATATGAAAATGTGAATTTACCATATTATCCTCATTTAATTAATAATTTCAATTCTTAATGTTTGATTTAACCAAGGGCATTTACTTGGTATTTTGAATGTTTCACCATTCTCTGCTTTTTGCTTTATATATATATATATAACTTCCCCTTTTAAGACGATGATTTATCAGACATGCGATTAAGATATGAATGATTTACATTAACTAATGTGGTATAGTCACCTCAATTGCCACACAAGGTGGTTTAAAAATGTGGTATGGCTAGCATTATTGTGGTGAAGGGTTTTTATGTCTAAAATGTCCTTGAACTTTAACCTGATTCGCATTTTGGTCCCTCAATTTCCAAAATTGTTCTTGTGGTCCTTCAACTTTAATTTCATTAGGACAAATGGTCATGCTGTCAATTTTGTTATCTTTTACGTTAAATATAGGGGCAAAATTGTATTTTTGTATTATTTTTAATTTCCACCTTTTGAATATTCCTTTCACCCAATAAATAAACTAAAAACTAAAAAACCTTCTTCTTATCCTTGCCACAATAGCCATAACCCCTCGGCCATGTTTGACTTAGGGCCAGTTTATCATTGCTATGCTGTGAAAATAATCGCTATCAGATTTGCTGTGAGAGAAAGCAGTTGGCGTTTGGTAAACTTTTTGTTAAAAGTGTTGTTTGTATTATTTCCCACATAATTAGAAAATGATTCCCGCAAAATCATTAAACTCAGTGCCTCTTTGAAATTGATTCCTGCATAATCAAAAAATGAAAGCACCTCATTAGCTGCTTTCCCTTATAGCTTTCTCTTACAGCAATTTTTAACAATAAGTGATTTTCTCATGGTTTACCAAACGGGCTGGGCTTCCCAAAATTTTTAAATAATCACTTGTCATCCCAAATGCGCAATGCCAAACCGGCACTTAGGATAGGAAGAAGGTGTTTTAGTTTTTATTTATTTATTTATTTATTTTGGGTGAAATGAATATTTAGAAGGTAGAAATTAAAAATAATACAAAAATACCATTTTGCCTCTACATTTAACAGAAAAAGTTAACAAAATTGATGGCATGACCAGTTATCTTAACGAAATTGAAGTTGAAGGATCACAGAAACGATTTTGGAAATTGAGGACAAATAAGAAATCTTATCAAGCAAATACAATTGGAAATCAAGAAAGCAACAAATAAAGTAAAATTGTTCCCTACTTGTTTGAATTTGCTAGAAGTTGGATTTTACGTATATCAATGTGGTGCAACTTTTGTTCCTTTTTTTGGGAAGTTAATACTTTTACTGGATAAACTTGGCCGCAATACAAGTTTGTACAAAATTAGGGATTGATTGTTAACCGTTGTATTTGATGATAAAACTTCCATGCAATATGTTTCATACAATTTCCTCTATCTTATTACATGATGAGTCACGCGAATAAATGATAAAGATATATAAAACATGGGATATGTTTTTTTTTTTTAAAATTTCAGACCAACTGTTGTTAATGATCTGATCACTTTCCAGAAGATGGATATATACCACCAAAATAGTACACATTCCAAGAAAGAAAAGATGTACACACAGAAGCCATGCTCAGAATGAAATGGCAAATCCACACAGTACCACGTTTGTGTAGCAGGAGACACGTGTACGCCAACATCTCAGCATTGTCATTTCTTCTGCTCTTCTTCATCATCCATATGTCTTGGAAACTTCCTTCTTTGTCTGTGTCTTATTGCAATCTGAGATCGATCAACACATCAAGCTGTGCTAGCTGGTGTTCAACCATGAGAGGCCATATTTTTCCTCTGCGCACCTTCTCATCAAGGTCCTCCTCACTTTTGAGGTCCTTAACAGCATGCCACAACCAGGTTAGTTTCAAATCACCAATTAATTTACATCATAATCATGTTCATGATCATACCCTTAATCTGTAACTAATTAAGGTACCCTTCAAGTCAAAATAGGATATATAACATTGATTTCTAATATGATTGAGTGAATCAATTGGGGCTTAATTGCTGTAACACGCGGATTTTTTTTATACAAGTGATAAACTATTCTAAATTAATCTAATTTACGGGAGGGGACTCCAACTTGGTGCAAGGATGGACTCATTATCCTGACCAACTGGCTTAATCTACGTTTGTTATGTGGAACTTTAATTCAGAGGTACCATAGCAGTCAAGTTAGCAAGGGAGAGCACAGCAGCCGCATTAATATAGAAGAGAGAGCACCTTCAACAGCTGAGGAGTTCAAAAGAGTTGCTGAGGAGAAGCTGAAGAAGGCAGAGCAAGGTGTAGCCAGTCAAACTGTTGACAAGGCATGTGATGTGACAGAGGAAACTACCTTGGGTGACTCTAGCGTTGACTCTGTGAAGAACAGGTACAAGCAACATGAACCTGGTGCTGATTACAGAAGGAGGCCACATGATGACTGAATAATTTTGATTGCCTAATTAATACTTCGTTTTGATTTTCTGAGCAATAAAAGAAAATCTGGATATCATAAAGATTAAGAGCAAAGGGAAGCCAGATTGTGTAAATTATATATCCAAGAACTCAACTTCAACTTGGTTGAGGAGTGTTAATATAAACCTTCTTAATAATTTTAAATGGTTTATGTACTTTTTTTTCTTCAACTTGTTGTATATGAATGTTTTGAATGGAAATATATCTCCTTGTGGAAAATATTTTGCCAGAAAATTATGTTGACTGATTTAGATTTGATCCTTTTTCAAATTTATGTTTATAGGTTGGCTATGCCTAAAAAGATATACCCAATTGCGTAGCAGATGATATGTGAATTTTTATTAGCTTTAGTATTTTATTTTATATCCGGTACTCAGTTCTTCTCCTACTAGTCGACCTTTTAGCAATCTTTTTGGTCACCAAAGCTTAAGATTTTGTAGAGAAAAATAATAAGAGGGAGAGAGTTTGTGCCTGGTCAGTTTTTAGGCCGTTGGTGGGTGGTTGTCCCTGCCGGGACTCTAGATCATAGTTTTAGTTCCCTTTTGGTTTTTTGGGTAACAACAATTAATAATCATAATAATAGAAAAGGCAAACACGTTATTTTCTGTAAGTAATAATCATCTCTCTTTGGCTCTCTTTTTTAATCCTTTGATATATATATTTTTTTCAATTTCACGGATTTCAACACAAAAAATCGACCAAAAAAAATTATAAATGTCACTCAAAATCAAATAGTCAGATTTAAATCTGAATTCAAATTCAAGTATGTATCTAAATTTCAATTTATATATACTAAATGACTTACTTCATTATCATGTTGATTGGTTATATTATAATCAAAGATGCTTTAATTTGTAATTTGTATGCTAATTGATGATGATTTTTATTTTAAGGAAAAAAAAACATTTATTGTATGGCATTACGCAATGGTGTAAGTTTGTGTTAGCTTATGTGAGGTCCCAGTTTAAGGTTCGCACAAAGCCCTCAGTGCACCCTTTAGTCAATTATCTATTAGTTTATCACAAAAAATTGGAAGGAAATACATTACATGATGGATTTAACTTATTTAAGTTGATTATATAGCGAGCTGGCAAACACTGTGAGTGTAGAAAATATGTAGTAATTAATGAAAGAAGATTAAACACACCATAATCATTTATATATAATGAATTACTACAATATTTTACACTTTATACATTGCATCAAAAGTAGAAACTTGAAAAAGAATGGTAATGTGAAAATTTGTTTCTTGCAAAAATAATTCAAAACAAAACCATGTATATATATATAAATAGTTTAGCATATTTTCACAAAGACATAAGTGATATGGTGGTTAAGGTGTTGAAAGAGTAAAATGGTAGGGGTTCGAATCCCCTTGATGTTTTTTAATATAGAAATTTATCCTAGATTGCAGACATTTTTAAAGATGTTATAAATACTACATGATAAATGTTTGAAATTATCGAATAAATAATTAATTACCACCACAAATGCCCATACCTAGATTTATCGAGATGTTATAAATACTACATGATAAATGTTGAAATTATCGAATAAATAATTAATTACCGCCACAAATGCCCATTCCTAGATTTATCGAGACCTTTATTTCCCTCAATTGTTTTTCCAACTCACGTGGCTCCACTAGAACGTAAACATTAGTTGATAAAAAAGAACCCGGAGGTAACTGAGTTAAGTTTCCAGCGGAAAGACCATTACCACTATAAGAGCATCTCCAGGAGACTCTCCAAATTTTACCTCAATTCTAGCCAAAATAGCTAGAAAGCTAAAATAGCTAACCACTTAAAAGTTGGTTCCTCCAGCAACGCTCTCTATTTTAGCTAACCTCAAATATTTTATTATTTTAAATTCATTAAAAAAACAAAAAAAAAACCCAAAAGCCAAGTCTCAACCCCACCGAACCTTTCTTTTTCTTCTCTCTCCCTTTCCCTCTCTCTCTTCCAGCTTTTTCTTCTCTCTCTCTCTCTTTCCCTCTTTCTTTCTCTCTCCCTTTCCCTCTCTCTCGCGGCCAATAATACACACTCCAAATTCAGATCGGACGCCACCAACCAAGTCTCTCAACCTTTCGCTTCTGTCGACGATTCTCGAAATCCCTAAAGTACCCCTGTTTTTCTCCAAAATCTCGCTCCCCTGCACCCTCTGCTTCGCAATTTCCATCTGAGCAAACCCTAGCACCCCTCCCAAATCCTTCTCCGTCTACGCGATGCTGAAGTTTTCGCCGACCACCGCGAGCCAGATTTGCTTTCTCCTCCAAAGCCCCAACGACGCCAACTCTGACTCTGTGCTCCGAGAGCTCTCTCAACCATCGCGAGAATATCGAAATATTATAACCGTTTTGTGTTGACGTTGCTTGATAATATCGGGATCAATATGTCAGCGATATTTTCGGCGACAATTTCGATATTTGGACAAAAAATGCTTGGTTTGTTCCCAAATTATCGGCTTCCAAAAAAAAAGGATATTATCGCCGATATTTCGGCGATAATGTCGATTTTTTAGACACTGCTAAAAACACACAAAAGTTATTTTAGGAACTCTATAAAATTTGAACTCCAATCATACTCCCTAAGTTAGGAAGTCATAAATACTATAGTTATTTTTTAATTCAATATGATTGGTTATCATCTCTATAAAAAAAAAAAAATAGTTTGTATTAATTAAAAGTTTAAACTATGCATAAAACGAAACAACATTAAGGGCCCGTTTGGGAGTGCTTCTGGAACAATTAAAAGCGCTTTCTAACAACCAAAAGCGCTTATGACAGCGTTTGGTAGAGAAGTTTAGAAGCGCTTTTGAGCCATAGAAGCGCTTTCTGGAGAAGCATCTGCCATGTGCTTCTTCAGAAAGCACTCCCAAGTGCTTTTCCAAGAAGCACTTCGATTTCTTATGAAAATTTCAACGTCTTTATAATAAAAGCGCTTTTGGTAAAAGCACTTATAAGTAGAAGTGCTTCCTAGAGAAGCAGTCCCAAACAAGCCCTAAATTAAGGAGCCACTAGGAGTCCTTTCTCTCTCCTCAGATTTAGGAGTTCCTATAGGTCTCTTTATTTTAGGAGGTGAATAAGGAGCATAGTTGGAGTTGTATTTTTCCAATTCATCCCTAAAATTTGTCTAAGGAGGTGGTTTAGGGACCCCATTGTGGATGCTTTAAGTGCGAGTAATTATAGTGTACGTAGTATGACAGTATGTCACATGGTTATTTACTGTAGTACTCCCTGAAACTTCGGTCAAATCTCATTTTACCCTCTCAAAGTTAAAGTGGCCCACTTAACCTCCTTGACTGTGGTTTTATGTTCCACTTTACCCCCCACCAGTAACAACATCCAAAAAACCAGCAAAAATGCTAACATGGTAGGGTCTTTATGATAAAATCACACACGTTAACCAATTATTGAGCATAATCAGCATCCTACATAGAAAAGTGGGCCCCACATGCTTCCCAAATAGAAATTAATAAAAATTCTTTACTTTGAAAGTTAAAAAATCCAATAATATTACATAATAAATTTAAAAGAAATTTGCAAAATTAAAAAACCCTACCCATCAACCACTATCCCTCCAGCAACCCCAACCCCTCCCACCCAGATCCCCCACCACTCCACTTGCGCCTCTCTGTCTCTCCCTCTCCCTCTGATTACAAAACAAAGTTATCAGATTTCTACATAAAATTAATTAAATCTCCATATGTGTAGTTATGAATATCATAGAGAGAAACAAAACAAGTAAAAGATGAAAACTCAATTTGCAAATTGTGAATAGAAATTAAGGACAAAGATGCAAAGTCAAAGAAGCATCCTTTGGATTTGGTGGATCTCATTGGCCAAGAAGGATAGAGATGCGAAGTCAAAGAAGTATACCCTAGCTGCTTGTTTCTCTTGCCCTTTTTATCATTCAGGTCTTCTTTGTTCAAGATCCAACATTTTCTATCAGCCCTTGAAGATATAAGACGAACCCATATGAGAAAATAACAAACTCAACGCAGCCAGCCACAACCCCCCGCTCCTCTCTGCCCCTGTGTGTCCCTCAACCCGACCTTCTTTGCCCCTGCGTGTCTTTCTTCTCTCTCTCTGTGTCACCAAACCCAACAACCCAATGCCCTAGCCACAACCCACCAACCTGGAGTAAAGCAAGCTGGGTTGGGAGGGATGGTGGTGGCGATGTGGAGAAGATGGTTGCTGCTAAATTTTTTTAAATTAAGCTTAGGATATTTCTTTTAATAATTTTAATAGACTAAGAATATTTTATTATGTTGTGGGCTCTATTTTGCCATATCATCCACTCAGACTGATGGGTAAATAAGCCACATATATAAAATTACTTAAATACTCTTACCATGTCATCAATTTTGACAATCTTTTGGATGTCGTTAATGGTGGGGGTAAAGTGGAACACAAAACCACGGTCAAGGAGATTAAGTGAGCCACTTTAACTTTGAAGGGGTAAAGTGAGATTTGACTGAAGTTTCAGGGGGTACTACAGTAAATAAGCCTTGATATTATATCATAAAAGTGGGAGGAAATATTAACCATATCGCCCATCCATATTATAACACATGGACGAGTTACAGCAGCCTTGCTACGCAGTAAAGCGTACGTACATGTGGGTTTTTGGAAAGTCATTAGACACAAACAAGTTTAAACACTTAAATCAATCTCAAGCACATGATTTCATTGAAATAGATCCAACGACTAAGCACCTCATTCCTCAAATGATGACACTAAATCCCTCAACTACATGCATGGCACTATATATATATTTTCTTCAGCAAGAATATTCTAATTGTCCCAATAATATCTATGTTCCTATGTGCAGACATTGCTTGTCACGTGCGTACATCCCCACCATTGACTTGACGCTAGCTCTTCAATTATCATGTAGATTTTTTTTTT